CAAATGGTCAACCTCAAATACGATGACCATGGGTGCAAAGCTTGACCATGATGGAAGGTGACCATATGGGCAAATTCAAAATCTCTTCTTCTGCTCTTCCCCACGTGCATTTGACCGTTGTGTACCAACTTGCATTATTTTTAATTAATTTTATTTCAGGCCTCTTGCCTACTTATCTTGCTGTAATGCACATTGATTTAATTAAGGAAAATATTTCCTCCTTCTATTCTTCTTAACTCACGAAATTCTCTCTCCCTATTATTTGTTCTTCATTCTCCAGCAACAATACTTTCTTAATCTCTAATTTTAACAGAAGGTATACGTCTTGATAATTTTGGTCTCTTTCTCTCCTTCCTTTGGAATCCCATAAAAAATAAAAGATTGAGATGATTTCCTGAGAGGCAGAGGGAGAGTTACATTAGCCATGACCCCACTATTCTAATTCAAAGGAATGATCACACATTGTGGAAGCGAGGGAGCGGTAAATTACCCATGACCCCACTATTCGCCTACACTTTGTCAGAAAAGGGTACAAAGAGTAGAAAGATCAATAAGATGAACATTTTTTGTTTATTGGGATTGATATAAAAGAAAAAGAAAATTTTGGGATTCAGAGAAGGGAGATATAGGGAGAAAAGAAACCAGAATAAGACTGCATGTTTACTCAGAAACTTGCTTGAGTTGAATCCATGTATTCCTTGATCGATACTCCCAAGGTAAAGCCTGCACTTTTATTTTATGAAAGAAATGAGGTTAGTAGAGGGGATTGTCAGACATGATTTGTTGAGTTGTTGACTAGGTGAATTTGGTTGCTATACTAGGATTTTGTAAAATGTGCTTCTAAAAGTTAGGATGTTTATGATTTGGTTTGCACTACTAGAGAAATGGTGACTGAGTTTTTAAAATCTTTTGAGTCCATGCTGTTTTAAAACCTCCTTCACAAAGACTTCCTGTCTTTTTTGCTTGAAGCCAAGCAAAAGGGTAAGTCTGGGGGAGTTGATCGACCATGGATTTTACCCATTTTTACCCATGGTCTATAGGTGTTTTCATATATATTTACTACGATATAGAGTCTATTTAGAGTATTTACAGGTTCAGGTACGTTCTGGAGATATATGGTGATTTTGGTGTCTTTTGAGTGCAGAGCTGCGCAGACGCGTTAGATGTTTAGATATGGATGGAGACCTTCCCATGTTGCGATTTAGCTGATATTTGGACACAAGATACAGCTTTGAGGTAGATTTCCAATGCCACCGGTTTGGAGTCAATCCAACGGTTAGAACAGAAGTTATTCCCGGTTTACGGAAGAGTGGTCAGTCTGCCTCACGAGAGAAGGCTGTCGAGAAGAGGAATGTATATCGATCGATGGGAAAGCTTTCATATCGATCGATATGAATGCCAGAACGTGGGCTGAATATATTTCATGACCGACTGAAGCCCAGAAGATACCACAAAGTTACCAAAATACCCTTGACGACTTGAAACCCTATTTATGTTATTTCTAAGCCATTGTTGACGGCTACGCACGCTTTCTTTGATTCATTGTTCTTTTGTTAGGAGAGAAGGGAGGAACTCCTATCAGAGTCCTTCTGGAACTCCATTGGATTTTATGTCTATTGCAATTTCTTATCTATTCATCTATGATTTATGTGACAATCTTCATGTCTGAATAGATCCACCTGTTGGATTTAGGGTTCAGATAGGTTGTGGGATTAGCCCCAACTATAGATTGCGAAGTTGTGATTTTCATTATCATGATGAGCCCTAATGCTTGATTCTAGAGTCATGAACTAGAACCATGAACATGATGGCATTAATTCATTAATCATCATTTTGATATCATCATGTATAAGCTAAGATCCTCTAGGGATGACCGAGAGCCGGTCTATGATCTTGGTGGGCACTATTTCAACTCGATCTGAAGCTATATCGATCGATACTCCTATAGAGTAATCGATCGACGACAAGCATATATCGATCGATATCGCTGTCTAAACATCGATCGATATTGTCAGCATCAGATTCATGGACGAGTCTTGACTGCGAAAGCTGATAGATTCATCTAAGAGTTGAAGTTCTTTAATATCATGCATGCAACTTGTTAGGCATCTATAGCATTATAATCCTTATTACCTGAATAGAAACCCTAGATCTAGCAACCATCCTTCCATCAAACAAATCCTTGCCAAGCTGAACAATTATCTTGTTCATCTTGTTTATTGTTTTCTAGTTTATTATATTTATTTACTGCATTAATACCTATTAGCCTAGCTTAATCATATAACTATTAGATCTATTAGGTTCCCTAGCTCCCTATGGATTCGATCCCTAAATACTACAATTGAACCTCTTATTTGAGAGAGTAATTCACTCCTTAGGGTTAAATATTTGAGTGATATCATAAACAATATTTATCTCAAACTTTAGAACCAATGAACATATAAAATCATTTTGTACTACAGGTACATCAACGACCTTCCATTTCGTTGATTAGATAAGTATGGAGGAAACATTTAAAAAGGGGAAATTGTCATTTAAATCACCAACTTTCAAATTTGGTTGAAATAAAACACCAATTTTCTTATAAGCCAAAAAAATACTCAACTTTTGTTGACAAGCCATTTTAATCACTAACTTTCATCGACCACACCAATTTAGGCATATCGTTAGTCAACAGTTATAGTTGACTAACGGTAGGCCTAAAATGGTTTTCAAAGTTGATGTTTTTTTGGCACATATATAAATCAACAATTTTTTTTTACAATATTGGATATATTTTAAAATTTTTAAATATTTTTATAACTTAAGCACTAATAAATAAAATTATAAATAAATAATCCAATAAAATATAAATAAAATTCAATGTAAAATAATTAGTTAACATAAAGTGATTGAGTATCTTGGTTATAAAATGATAAGAATATTTTAATTATTTACGATTAATTTTGGTAAATATTTATATAATCCTATTTGAATTATGTTTTATAATTTTATTTTCAAAAGTTTGTTGATGAAATATTAATTCAACTCTTGTTTCTAAAATGAAAAAGTTATCGATTAACGAATTATTCATGATTCTTTAAGTTTATAATAAAGATCTTCAAAAAAGTCTATATATTTTCTATAAATTTTTTACAAGAGGCTGCATTTAAAAAAATTAAGTTTCACCAAAATAGATAACTCTTTTTGTGATCCGATAACTCATTTTGTTTAAAAAATTAAGAATTGAAGTAATATTTTACTAAAAAAATTTTGACAGTAAAATTATAAAACATAATCCGTGTAGGATTATACAAATAGTTTTTTAAAAAAATTAATCGTAAATAATTAAAAAAATCATAATCATTTTTAACTAAAATACTCAATTAAGGATATGTTAATTAATAATTTTACATTGAGTTATGTTTATATTTTTGAATGGGATTTATTTTTTATTTACAATTTTATTTATTAGTGTTATAGTTATTTAAAAGTAAAAGCCAATATTTTGAAAAATTGTTGATTTATATTTGTGTAAAAAACACCAATTTTAAAAGCCATTTTAGGCATACTGTTAGTCAACTATAAATGTTGAATGACGATATTACTAAATTGGTATGGTCGACGAAAGTTTGTGACTAAAATGGTTTGTCAACAAAAGTTGAGTGTTTTTTTTTCTTATGAGAAAGTTGATACTTTATTTCAACCAAATTTGAAAGTTAGTGGTTTAAATGACAATTTCCCATTAAAAAAGGGATACCCTTGTAAAATATTATATAATGGAAAATACGGCATTGCAAAATTGTGGCGATACTATGAACTAAGGAAACCAAAAATAAACAAAAACTGATTATACAATGATGACAATCTTTCAGAATCTTGACTATAAATAGATTACCACACATATAATATGTTTCACCAAATATAAGTTTCTTGACAAGGAAAAGAAACACCGGGTTTAACAAAAAGACACGCAAAACCAAAACAAATGGCAAAGAACATCAACTCAGTGAGCATCACCGTTCTCTTGATTGTCCTCATAGTCGCTTCGACTGGTAATTTATCTAGTTTCTCTATTATACCCTGTAGTAGTAATCTAGCTTTAATATTTTGATGATTTTGTTGAATATGCCAACATGCAGAAATCCTCAAGAGTGAAGCTCAAACATTTTGCTTTGAGTGCGGACCAGTGCCGTACGCAGGTACAAATACTGATTGCTTTAACTGTTGCAAAGACAGATACGGGAGTCCTCCGGTTGTTAAAGGGGTAGCTGAGGGAACCCCGAAACACTGTCATTGCTATTGTTAATACTTGAAATAATATCATGTAATCCCGAACTGTAACTTTTGTTTTCAATCGGTGACCTTTCTTTTTGTTTATGCTCAAGCTTCTTTTGCTTCCCAATAAAACATCAAGGGCGAAATATATCACCTTGCCCTCACGTGTAAACTTATATGTTGTACATGTGTGTACTTTTGTTTTATGATGAATTTAAATGTCGTCTCGTGCTTGTGTTCCTCGTGTATTTCCCCCCATGAATACATTCAGTTTTCTGTTGGTAAAAGTTATCTATAAATACTGACCTGGTCTTGTTGTATAAACTCGTTTTTGTCTTGACATGTTCATTAGAAACATGAGAATTACTGTATATATATATTACCAAAAGCGGCTTTCATCCTCAGAAAGATTTTTTTTTTCTTTTTGGGTCAAATGAAAGAGTTATGTTATAGAAATAGAGCTATATATATTCCAAAATGCTTGGAAGGGGATTTTACTGAATAAAAAAAAGACAACGATGAGTACAATTAGAAATGAGAATTAGAGGCTTATAAGAACAGAAGGTGGCGTATTCGAAATATGTTTTTAATTCTCGGAAAACAATCTGACATATCTATACTATTATTTAAGAAGTAAATTTGATTAGTTGTCATCTTCTCCATAAGTTTAGGTAAATTTGTTTATTTATAATATTTATAATATTTATATATAATTTATTAATAAATAAAACGAATTTATATGAATATATCATATTTTAGAAAATAAGATAATTATTGTGAATTATTTTTTTTATCTTGAAATATATTTTTAGATATAAAACTTAAATTACAAAATACAGCAGGGGTTAAATAATCTATACTATTATTTAAGAAGTAAATTTGCTTAGTTGTCATATTCTCCATAAGTTTAAGTAATTTTATTTATTTATCATATTTTTAATATTTATCTATAATTTATTAATAAATAAAACGAATTTATATGAATATATCATATTTTTAGAAAATAAGATAATTATTGTGAATTATTATTTTTATCTTGAAATATATTTTTAGATATAAAACTTAGATTACAAAGTATAGCAGCGGTTAAATAATAAGTTAACAATATTTATATTTTATAATTATCAAAATATTCAAATCATATTTTTATAATAAATATATTTTTATTGATAAAACTACTATTAATTTTTTTAAAAAAAATTAAAGAAATATTTTTTTGAAAATTTTATAATATAGATACTTTGGTATTTCAATTTAAAATTTTAATTAAATTTTTTTTTTATATTTATATATTTTATGAAAAAAATATATTTTATCCTTATGCAATCGCCGCAACCGCAACGCTAGCTTAAACCAGCTTTTGAATATTTGAGATTCAGAGCGATTTGAAGCGGTTTATAGCACTTTCTGTGATTGTTGTAAAATGCAAACAACCGCTAACAACCGCAAAAACTGCGTTTGCGGGTGATGGCGGGAAAACCAGTCAAACCTTTACTCACCAACGGGTTTTAAATCCGTTTACTTCCTTCTCCATAATCAATCCCAAAACAAAGAGGTCATCGCTTGATATTACGTGTATACACATACCAATTAACCTAATGTGCACACTATCACAATTGAAAAGTATGTCCATGTAACACTTTAGTATCAAATCCATAGAGACCAACGATTATACTTTATATCTATAAGATCAATATTAATCTAAAACAATATGATGGTTTTAAGATTGAGGTATCGTAGCAAACAAGTAAAAAAGGTTGGTTTGATACTTAGAATCATGAGCTACACAACTATTCAAGAAAACAATACGAGCCAATATAAAACTTGAACAACAAGATTAGATAAACCCACTGTCGTGGTGTCTGCCAACTTATCAAGCAATCATAATACCTAAACTATCGTTTGGATAAAAGACTAATGACAAGCATTAAAATCAGATTCAATTGGTTCAAGATTTGGCTTAACATCAGTTTTATTGGCAAAGGAAAATCACCTATCTAAGCTTCTTCTAGCAACCTAAAACACTTTTGATGATTAGATTAGACCTAATATCAGATGCTAAATGGCCAGTTTAACACTAGTAGTAAGCATAGCAATAGATAGAGATATCAAAGAAAAACAATCCTATTTGTGTCTAGCTCATTGATCCATGATCCCTATCACCTAAAACTTAACAAGCGACTACTTAGCCATTAACAAATATATCACAGATACCATAATAAGAGAAGACATGAAATAACACTGCAGTAAAAGAGAAATAAGGTTCATGAGGTCTTCTATAAACGAGAGAGATGAAGATCCTTCTCCCTTTACAAAGTGCAAAATCTCCAATTTTCAAAAGTTCAAGTCTGGTTTCTTGTGTAAAAACTAGCATAGAATAATAAAGAGAAACAGAAAAAGAAGATATTCGGAAGCCATAGGAAGCTGTGAGAAAAAATAAGGAGATTAGGGCAAATCTCAAAATAGGTTGTAGTTTCCATAAAAATCTATGCCGCTGGAACATGTATTCGGGTTGCTCCGCTCGATCAAGAACAGTCACTTCAGATGTTCTGCATGAAATCACCAAATTGCGCTGTTTTCTGCCTCTTTTTCTCTAACTATTCCATCTCTTGTCCAGTGTAACTCCAGACCTGTAATGACTCGAAAAGGACTAGAAAGACTCGATAAAGACCCAAAAACAAATTTAGAATACATATATACAATGATGTCAAAAACACCATATATTAACTCCCTCAGACTTAGATCCTTGTTTGTCTTCAAACAATGTCAAGTATCAAGAAGAGGAAGAAAGGTTTGAAAGTGTGGGAAGTCTCTTATTTTCATCAACCATATTTTAATCACAAATCACTGAACCATACAAACAGTAAAGCTAGGACAACACACCCTTACTAAAACCTTACTGACTACAGGCTCCCTACTCTATATCTCAAACCTGAAAAAGTCACACCTTCCAGACAAACTCCTTACATTCAATTAAGAGTAGCATGAGCTTCTCATCACATGCATTATTCAGGGTAAATGGTCTAGGTATGAAACAAGCCTTTTACGTGTTTAGGTGGAGCTAATCAGTCTTTAGGGGTTATCATTTCTTTGTAGAGGATGCAGGATATCAAGCAAAATTGCAAGAAAAGATAGATCCATTGATGTCCACAGCCTCTACTCGTTTTTGCCTGCTATTCCTCAGAAACAATCGCTTTGATCAGATGCCTGCTCTTATTTGGAACAATCGCTCCTATCATCAGCATGTTTGATATACCATGATTTTGACCCGCTTTTAGTCATGGTATATTGGTGTTTTTACTACTAGCTATTATATTATAGAAGCTTTTAAGAATCTTTATAGGTTCAGAAGTATTTTGAAAGAAAGTGATGTTTTGGAGCATTTTAGAGAGAATTGGAGAAATCACTCAATATGGAATCGACCAACACGATCGAGGTCGACATGGACTGACTCACGTCGATCGACATGCACCTAGCATGATCAATCGTCGCCGAAGGCGCGCAAGACCAATTCGCGAGACAGCCGACTTAAAGTCCAAACATCACCAAATGATGATTTTACCCCTGGCGAGCTTTACCCTAAGTTTATATACTCTGCCAAAGTGTTAGAGCAGAGAGAACTTTTTGTATTCTTTTCACTGCAAAAGTTTATAGGATTTATAGTTTGGGAGAGAAGATCAACATAGATATTTGTGATTGGAACTCCATTGTTTTCTATCTATCTAATACTATGCAGTTTTATTACTTTACTTGTGTTATGAATTGCTTAGCCATGTCTGAGTAATTCACTTGTTAGAATTAGGGTTTAAATAGGTTAGTGGGATTAGCCGCAACTAAAGGATCGCTTGTTTTGGTATTCATTAATAGGTAGTTCTTAATGCTTATGTTCTAGACTTGCTAACTAGAAACCTGAATCTAGGATTGTTAGGTTCTTTAAACATCCTTGAATAACTTTGAAAGTATTGAATACATCCTGATTAAGCTAGTATTTTACTAGAGATGGAGCAAAATTTTGATCTAAGGATCTATAGTGAGTGTTTGTTAACTCGCGTGTAACGCTTGACTAGCCGCATCGATCGATATTCCCATTGGATATCGATCGACGTCGAGTAAAGTGAATTCAAACGATGTTCCTATAGAATAATCGATCGAAAATGTCACTGATCGGACATTCTTGTCTTGGTCAAAAACATTCTAGTCAATAAGCTTATTTATTAAATGAAAGTTTAGTAAATCTGTTGTTAAGATAGTTAATGCTCTTTAATACCATGCAAACAACTAAATAGCGCACCTATAGGATTATAATCTCCAACACCTGAATAAGAACTCTAAGTCTAACACCTTTACAATTAAGTTCAAAACCCTCATTTCATTCTTGTCGAGTAATTGCATTGCTCAATTAGAATATTTCATATTTACTGTTTACTTGCTTACTGCGATTTACTATTTATATTCACCTAATTTTATTGTTTGATTTGACTTAATAGGTTCCATAGCTCCTTATGGATTTGATCCCTAAGTACTGCAATAGATCTCTTATTTGAGAGAGTAAGTTGCTCCATAGGGTAATTTGAGCACTTATCAAATTAGGCGCCATTGCCAGAAAGCTTTGATCGCCATTAGATTTAGTCTAATAATTCTAGGTTTTTCTTTTTCTTTTTCTTTTACCATCTTTTGATAAAAAAATTTCTTAATTTTTCAGGTGCATGCATAACATAACCAGAAGCAACAAGAAAAAACAGTTGATATTTTCAGAAGGCCCAATAAGCTTGGAACGTTCGATCCATAAACACCTATGTTCCGCATCGATCGACTCTAACAACACTTCGTCAACTGATTCTCATCAGACCCCAGCCGACCTTGCTTCATCATCGATCAACACAGACTACTCTTCATCCACCGATTCTGATCAGTTGAAATCGATCGTCACCACTCATCGTACATCGATAGATACTGAGTCACGAGACATGGTTGCACCTCTGATATTAACTGCAAACGTGAATGGAGACTTGTATGACCTGGAAGGTCATC